GCATTTTGGTCACCCCAGGGCCCCATAGAAAAATCATGCAATTTATTTCCATATGATATGATACTTGGTTGAGCCTATATGGTATGAGGGAACCCTGGCCGGAGGGCCTGTGCCAGCTCTCAGTGGCCCTGGCAATAGGATTGCTCTAGAGTAGTGGTCTTCAACTCTTCCAGACCCACAACCGACCTTTGACCCCAAATAACAGCTTGGCTCCTACTGGGCTGCCAACACATGGCAGCAGTTCACATGACCTCACAGTCATCATGTGACAGGAGAAGGGGGCTAGTGTCTCTGAAGCTGTATGCGCAACCAGTTTGGTGTAGTGGTTAGGAGCGTGGAGTCTAATCTGGGAGGACTGGGTTTGATTCCCCATGCCTCCACATGCAGCTGCTGGTGTGACCTTGGTCAGTTACAAGTTGTTTCAGAGCTGTTCTCTGAGGGCCACTTCTCAAAGGAGCTCTCTTAGCCCTCACAGCAATGTTCCCTCTAAGTTGTGGAGTCTTGTGAGCAAAAATTCTACTTTCTGAGCTCCTGGCATTAAAATTGTGAGCGAGCGATTTGGCTACTGCATATGTTAGTTTGCTCTGGAGCCATCCTTCCTGAGCTAAGACAAAAATGGGTGAGCCAGAGGCTAAAAAACTGTGAGCTAGCACACACTAACTCAGCTTAGAGGGAACACTGCCTCACAGGGTGTCTGTTGTGGGGAGGGGAAGGGAAAGGAGATTGTAAGCTGCTTTGAGACTCCTACGGGTAGTGACGGGCAGGGTATAAATCCAATCTCTTCTCTTCTTAAAAAGGAACCCTCTCCACCACTCTCAGCGACCTTGCTTCACCTTTCTGTTGCTTCTCTCAGCAGCACACAAGCGAAGAAAGCCCCGCCTCTCAACAGCAGGTCCTTCAAAACAGCAGCAAGAAAGAAAATGGTGGCACTATACAGGCTCATGACCCAGCAGATGGAGTTCCGCGACCCACCCAAGGCACTTAATCCACGGGTTGAAGACCACTGCTCTAGAGAAAGTAGAGATTGGGAAGGGAAACTGTGAAATGCCTTGCATTTTGGAGGTACAAAGGGTGCCTGAGGCCCCTGCCACACGGCAGGGAAAACACTGGCTGAAGTGCGGCTTTTAAAAGCCGCACCAAAAAAGAGACGCCTCGGCGGGATCCCACGATCCCCTGAGCTGCGGCGCCGTTGCTCCCCGGCACGATCAGATGCCGGGGAGGAAGAGACGAGGGGGAGGGGGAGGCTGTCGAACTGCGCATGCTTGAGCATGTGCAGTACGGCCGGGGGCCAGGGATGCGCCGGCAAAAAGACGTGTCGGCGATCCCACGGCTGACAGTGATGCGGCGTATCGGACATAACCACCTAGGTAGGTGGTTCTTTTTTGCTGCGGGTTTTGGCTGGGAGGGACGGATTGGGAACGGGCGCAGCACGATTCCCAGATGTTGCTGTGGGATCGCGCCCGTTTGCTTCGGCCCTGATCCGTCCCTCTCCCGGCCCAAAACGTCTCGTATGAACAGGGCCTGAATGCGGCATCTCAAAGCACAGATAAAAGATTTATCGGAAAAGTGTGTCACACCCAGTGGAGCAAAATAATTGCTTATTACAGCAGGAAGTCAGAAATCAACAAGAGTGCCTGGAATAAGGAGGGTGTCATGTTTTACTGTTACCGCAGCATGATGAAGGGTGAACTGGCCTGCTGAGGAATGTCATCTGCCCCCACAGTTGGTAACCTTGAGGCTAAGCAAAGCTCGCCCTTGTTAGTACTTAGATGGGAGACCACCAAGGAAGTCCAGGGTTGCTAGACAGAGGCAGGCCACGGCAGGCCCCCTCTGCTCGTTTCATGCTTTTAAAACTCCATGGGGGTTGCCATAAGTCAACTGTGATCCGACAGCACTTTACACACACACACATACGTACATACACACAGGTGGGTGAGTTTATGAGTCAGCTGCTCTCCAAAGAGCTTTATAATCTGCACACACTCAGCCCCTGAGATTCAGAAGAAAGATACTTAATTGTTTTGTTGCTCATATGAAGGTTGCAAGAAAAGGGTGTCAGGCTTCTAGGAAAGCCTGAGTCGGTGTATAAAAACAATCCTTTGATTTGCATGTAACCTGCAATCTGACAAAGGAACAACCGCAGAGCAGTGTACACAGACCAGGAAGTCAGCTAAAGAGACGCAATCAGAGGTGGAATGCCAACTCTTTTCACTTGCCAGTTATTTCACCTTTCCTCTCTTTATTCATGGCCTCTCCATGTTCGTGCTGTAATTATTGTTCAGATAAGTTATTCATTACCACAATACTGTAAAATACTCCCCACTTTCATGAACAGTGGAAGCAGCAGCAGCAGCAGAAGAGGAGGAGGAGGAAGAAGAAGAGGAGGATGAGACTGGATTTATACCCCACTCTTCACTCGGAGTCTCAGAGCAGCTTACAAACTCCTTTCCCTTCCCCTCCCCACAACAGACACCTTGTGGGGTAGGTGGGGCTGAGAGAGCTCTTTCCAGAACTGTCCTTGAGAGAACAGCTCTGACAGAACTATGGCTTGCCCAAGGTCATCCAGCCAGGTACAAATGGAGGAGTGGGGAATCAAACTCGGTTCTCCCAGATTAGAGTCCGCGCACTTAACCACTACACCAAACTGGCTCTCAAGTTTGAAGAAGAGGAGGAGGAGGAGAGGAGATTGGATTTATACCCTGCCCTTCACTACCCAAAGGAGTCTCAGAGCGGCTTACAATCCCTTCCCTTCCTCTCCCCACAACCAGATTCCAGAGCACCATGTTAAAGCACTACCATTAACTCAGTCAAGCAAGCCCTAGAAATAGGCCAATACATACTTAGGGGTGCCGGGTCCCATGCTATAGTTCTGAGGTTCAGTTTTGGGAGATCGTCCTCAGGGTGGAAGGTGGACATCTCGTGGCTGTCACCTAGACCACACACAGGATGCACTCTTTTGTCCGTGCCTTCTGCACATGCCTACTTGCAGGAACTAGTGCACATGTAAATTCTAGGTTTAGTGCATGGTTAATTTAAAGGTAAAGGTTCCCTTGCTCGAAAGCCAGTTGAATCCGACTCTAGGGTTGCGGTGCTCATCTCCGTTTCAAAGCCGAAGAGCCAGCGCTGTCCGAAGACATTTCCGTGGTCATGTGGCCGGCATGACTAAGCACGGAACGCTGTGACCTTCCCACTGAAGTGGTCCCTATTTATCTACTTGCAATTTCTTGCTTTCGAACTGCTAGGTTGGCAGGAGCTGGAACTAGAGACGGGAGCTCACTCTGTCATGCGGCACCTGGGTCTCGAACTGCTGAACTACCGACCTTCCACAGCCTGCAGTTCAGCGTCTTAACCACTTGAGCCACCGCAGCTCCTTAATCGTTAATTTACATACTTAAAAATGTGCATGGTGAATATGCCACTTCTTCGAAACCATAAGATGGCGACTACACACATTCAATGATAGCATGAAGTACAATTCATCTGCTTTCCTTTGTATCGTTTATTTACCAAATGTGTATCTTGCTTGTCAAAAAATCACAAAAATACAACAGCTCAGTTCAAAATCTTAAAATGTACTTTTAAAACAAACAAACAGAAAATAAATGCTCATGAGGAAATATGGTGGAGCGACGAGAGAAAAGCAGCTCGGAGAATGACATTTTAAAATAGGGGGGGGGCAAGATTTCAAGAATATTGCAGTCACATTGAATTCAAGAGTAACAACAAGATCTCAGTTGGCACCATTAAGACCAACAAAGTTTTATGCAAGGCATGAGCATTACTCTTAGCATTCCACTATTAAGGATACATTTACACCCACCTGAGCGTAGGTCAGTTCCCTTTGATATTCCAAGGTGGGACCCTTTTGGCCTGGGAACAGCGGAAGAGGGATAAACACTTGACATGGAACTCTCCCAGTGTTATTCTTTACACTGGCTTGGCACAACAGGAAATAAGCCCTTGCTTTAAATTTACAAAGGAGCCAAATGCTGATGTTTTAAAACCAGGGCTATTTTTGGGCAGGAACGCACAGGAACGGAGTTCCGGCTGGCTCCCGAGTTGGCCACACCCAGCAGGAACTCATTAGCATAATAGGCCACACCCAACAGCAGAAACTCATTAGGATTGGCTACAGTAGGCGTGTGTGGCCTAACCTGCAAAGGAGTCCCTGCTACAAAAAAAGGCCCTGGGTTTTGACAACAAACAAGGTAAACAGAATAAGAAGCAAAAGGTGGGTGTGGCTGGATGACCACACTTCTGGTAACATGGGGGGTGCGGCCTAATGTGGTAATGAGCTGTGCTGTCAGGGGTGTGGCCTAATATGCTAATGAGTTTCTGCTCTTGGGTGTGGCCTATTATGCTAATGAGTTCCTGCTGGGCTTTTTCTACCAAAAAAGCCCTGTTTAAAACTGTCAGGTTGATCAATGCCGAGCTGACCGTCTCTCTTGAAGATAGAGCCAGTCGGTTAGCCGTGTTGGTCTAAAGCAGCGCAACAGATGTAGAGTCCAGTGGGGCACCTTTAAGACCAACAAAGGTTTATTCAAGGTATGAGCTTTCGTGTGCACGCACACTTTATCAAATATCTTATTTGATATCTCATTTGATATCTTTATCTTGATATCTTGATAAATATCTTATTTGATAAAGTGCGCATGTGCACCAAAAGATCATACCTTGAATAAACCTTTGTTGGTCTTAAAGGTGCCACTGGACTCTAAATTCGTCTTTCTTGACAATGCCACCCCAGAGCTCCTTGAAGAAAGGAGAAAATAAAAAAAATGTAATTCAACACATGAAGCGGCCCAATACTGAGTTACACCACTGCTCAGGTAGAAGTCTTTCACATCAACCTCTACCTGATCCTTTCACCTGGAGAGGCCAGGGATGGGGCCTTTGAACATGCATGCAAAATAGGTGTTCTACCCGCGAGCCACAGCCCCTCCCCTGTTTTCCTTCTGTTCCCACCATCACCGTCCAATTTCTTGCTTTCCTTTGGTCCGTTATCTTCGGTGGCCCACAAAAAAATTCTGCAGCTTTAGGAAAAGGTAGAGCAGGCAAGCAGCCATATTGATGAGGGCTGTGACAGCCAACATCCACAATGCCGTCTGCTTGTCAATTTGGCCAGCCACGGCACATTCCAGAGCTTTGGGGCAGATCTGTGCCCCTGGAAGACATAAGAAGGTGGTTTTAGACACCGCTGGAACCTGCCAGGCAATGAGCACCCAGAGGAAGGCCAGCTCCATCATCAAGAGAAGAACCACACACAAGCTGTAGGTGACCGAGCGCCAGGGGCTGTGGGAAGGCATCTTGGGCGTCTCTACTGGAGCTCCATCAGCTCTGGTGGCAGTGATACTTGGAAAAGATGCTTCTAGTGCAGGGCTGGGGTGTTCAGCTGTGTTGAAGTTAGCAGGCAAGTTGTGGCTTACACAGGTGGGATTTGCCAACTTCACATCTGCTTCCTTTCTCTGGTGCTTAGGTCTGGTCACTATAAGCCTCATGAGCCCCATTGGGATCAAGGCCATCAAAAAAGAAAAACCCCACGCTGAGGTAATAGGGGCTGAGAAGTGTTGGTTGAAGCACAGTGCACTGCAAAAGGGTCGGGCATCCGCCTCCACCGAGGTCCAGTTGCAGGTCAAGTCCGGGCCAACAGAGGACCAGGGTCCCATGGCAATGAAATGGGCCACCAGGCGCATGGTCAGGAGGAGATACCAGGGGGCCAGGCCTTGGAAGGCAGGTTCATGGCTCACGGCAGTCAAGTCGGAGTGAAAGAATCGGGCTAAAGCAGGAAGAACCATCGCCATCTGTGGAAAGAGGAGAAGTCATGTGGGAAAGGCGAATCTCGGTAGAAAGTCAACTGTGGCTTGAGCAGAACCCAGAGAGCAAACGAGACAGACCTAAAAACACCACAGAGTCTTGGGCTGTCTTCAGGTTTCGGGAGGCCCTGAGCAAGGTGCCACAGTCATACCTCTCTCGCACAACACACACACACAAACTCTCCTTTCAGCAGAAGGGGACAGAGCATGTCATTCTGAGTAGCCCCTCCCCACTCTGATACTAGAAGGAACATGAAGGAATTCTGCTGTACTTTCACCTACAGGAAAATGGAGGTTGCCTCAGAGGCCTGTGTCATGTGGCTGCAGTGACTTCCTGTGTCCTGGTAGGAGTAGCTGAGCTAAGCAGCAAGCATTTGTGATAGGCCCTCGTGCCAAGTCTTGACGCCTGAGGGCCAAACTAGAGGTGCGAGTTTTTGAATAACTGGGGCAGGGTTTATTTATTTATTTATTTATATTTATATCCCGCCCTCCCCAATGGGCTCAGGGCGGCTCACAGAGGCAAGGTAAAACCGAGCCATAATTAAAACATATGATACATAATAAAAACATCCAACATTAAAACAGTGGTGCTCAATCAATTATTAAACATAAGTCCAAGATGGCTCAGCTCAGTTCTTCTCCAGAATCTTCTGACCATTCCCAAGTTCTTCCTCAGGGCCTCGCAACGTCCTCTAGGTGCAATGGCGGTGATGGTATAGTGGGGCGGCGGCTCCTACTCAAAAGCCTGGCGGAAGAGCTCCGTCTTGCAGGCCCTGCGGAACTGCATAAGGTCCCGCAGGGCCCGGATCTGCCCCGGGGGCTCATTCCACCAGGTAGGAGCCGCCATCGAAAAAGCCCTGGCCCTATCCTTGGGGCCCGGGATGTCCAACAAATTTTGGGCCCCTGACCGTAGTGCTCTTTGGGGAACATGTGGGGAAAGGCGGTCCCTCAGGTTCCCCAAAGCCACACAGCAGCTGCAGGGATGATAACTGAAAAAATAAAGGAGAGCCTTTTTGGACTCAGAACACCAACAGGAGGGGAGGAAGGGCTCCTACCTCCCCCCCCCAGCTGTTTTCCCACACCAAAACAGCACTGGAGGGGAGTTATTTCCCCATTTTCCAGCTCCAGATGGAGTATGCTGAGCACATGGAGCAGCAAAAACAGGGAAATAACCATTCCCTTCATCTGTGGTGTGGCAGAACGCAAGTTGGTTCTGGTGAACCTGGACCCAACTTAACTCTTTAAAAAAACCCTCATATCTATTGGTTTTGTGGCATCTTAAAGTCTAATGAACTTATTGCACAGAAACCTTTGTGAACTGAAATCCATTCACGTCACACAGGCATGAAGTATTGTGCCTACTTGGAAGAAATCCGTGTGTGGTCTTCCTCTGTGTTATCTTTATACAACCAGATGCAAGAACAATCATCAAAGTGTGAGTTTCAGTGCCTTCCCTTTAGGGTTGCCAGCTCCAGGTTGGGAAATTCCTGGAGATTTTGGGGTGAAGTCTGGGGAGGGCGGGGTTTGGAGAGGGGAGGGGCTGAAGTAGGCATTTATTATTCCTTGCCCATATAAGGGGATAGTTGCTGTTCATGTTCCAGTCATAAGGGGGCAGAAGTGAGCTTGTGTAGTTTGGGAGGGAAAAGTAAGCCTAGTCAATGGAAAATTCCACTCTGGTGATGTAAATGATGACGTGTAACCTTGTTGCAGTATAAAAGCCTGGAGCCTGCATTGCTCTGGGTTCAGTCTGTTTAAAGCGTGCTTCGCTGACTGAACCGGCGCCAATAAAGTTCTTCTCCTTCTGTTGATCTGGTGGTCTGTGCTTGGGCTTAGGCCCCTTTCTCCGTGCTACATTTCTGGTTCCCTGACCGGGAAAGGGGGGAGCACCCAACCAAGGCCGGGTTGTTGGGGCCCTCCTGAGCCACGATTTTGAAGAGAACCGCACTGACTGAGGACTGTTTGGCGGCAAAGGCGCCATTTTCGATTTCGAAAAGCCGATCATTCACTCCTCTCCAGGGCTGGTTCTCACCAAAGTCGCTTGCTCAGTGAACTCAGCCAGGAGGAGAACATCAGGGGAAGACTCCGGAGTCCAGTCTGGTCAGAGTCAGGTCAGTATTAATCGGTATCGGTCCCCTTCAGTTGAAGGGAAGAGGAAGCCTGATCACCTTCCTATCGGGTCAGTTTCTGTCAGGCAGGCTAGGAAAGCCTTGGCTTTCCTATGATCAGGGTGGGATCTGTGTTGAAGTGAATGCATGGTGTGTGAGTGTGAAAAGGCGGACTCCCGTAATAGGAGAAAGTCAAATTGAATTGTGGTCACCTCAAGCTCGCATTTCTCAGTCGAGAGATCGCATCTGAGTCGGGTACAGGTGGAAGCATTTGTGGTTAAGGTCTCCCTTTTATGTGTCTAGGAGCAGTGGACCCCTTACCACTCTCCCTGTTTACCCCACCCTCTGTATACCCAGCTGTCTGTCTTTTGTCTGTTCAAAATGGGAGGGAGTCAGGCAAAGCCCAAAACCCCTCTTCAGTTTATGCTCAAGCACTTTGAAGAAATTTTTGGCACAGCCACTCATGGCGTAGTTTTAAATCCAGTCTGTCTGCAGACATTTTGTGAGGTAAACTGGCCTGCGTTTACAGTGGGATGGCCACCAGAGGGCTCCATGGATCTCTCTCTGCTACACAGAGTCTATCTGGCAGCTACGGATCCCCAAGAGGACCATTCCGATCAGCAGCTCCATTATGTCTACTGCTGGTATGAATATGTGAGGAAAAATCCTTCCAAGGCCAAGCGATTTAAAACCCGACAGGGCTCTGCCCCAGCAGCCAACCAGCCTATAGTTTGCCCAACACCAGGAACTATGCCAGCAATTTGTCCAACCCTGAATACCCCAGAAAGCAGGCCCCAAGGCCCCCAAGTGACTTGCCCGCCACCGGAGGATGATTGGCCCCCACCATACTCTGCTGGGCCATTGCCACCGCCTCCTCTTCCAACTCCGCCCCCAGAAGCAAGAGTGACTAGATCACAGACTGCGCAGGCCCGTGCCGCCCAAGAACTTGCAGCCCAGGAGCAGCTTCAGGAACTGCAAATCAGTGAAGCGCTTAGCCCTTCAGTGCCAGTCTCCACCATTTATCCATCCTTAGTGGACTGTTTGGCTACTGCCTCTGCTCCTGAACCTGAGACCCCTGTCACTCCCATACCTAAGACAGTCCTTAAGAAAAATCCGACAACAGGGACCTGGAGCCCCGCCACTCATTGGAGTCCTACATCAGGACTCAGTGAAATGAACCCTTTTAAAGTGCCTGTAGGCAAATCTCAGGAAACTGGCAATTTAGCAACAGTCTGCCCTCTCCGTCAAGTTCCAGCAGGAGCGGATGGGATTATGAGATGGGTCTATTCTCCTTTCAGTACTGTCGATCTCTGTAATTGGAGAACACAGACGACCCCATATAGTGAAGACCCCCGACCCATGACAGATCTGTTTACAACAATTATGGCTACACATGCCCCTACCTGGCGAGATTGTAGCCAGTTACTTACTGCTTTATTAACTTCAGAAGAGAAGCGGAAAGTCATGGCAGCTGCTAAGAAAACTGTTGAAAACAGAGTCCCTGCTGACCAACAGCCTAATGCAGCTGACTGGGTTCGTGCCCGCTTCCCAGATATAGACCCAAATTGGGACCCCAATGTAGATGCAGATAGAGGAAGATCAGAGGAATACCGAACTGCCATCCTCTTAGGTCTCCAGGAAGCAGGAAAGAAGCCCATGAATATGGCTAAATTGAGGGAGGTCATTCAAGAGCCAACTGAGCCACCCTATACCTTCCTTGAAAGACTGTACAAGGCTTACCGCCTCTACACTCCTTTTGACCCAGAGGAAGAAGCAAACCGTACAATGGTGAATGCATCTTTTGTTAGCCAGGCTGCACCTGACATTAGACGCAAATTACAGAAGTTAGAAGGGTTCCAAGGGATGAACGTGTCCCAATTAATTGAGGTGGCCCAGAAGGTTTTTGTGAATAGAGATAAAGAAGAGAAGAAAGAAGAAGAAGCTAAGCATAGACGAAAGGCAGCAATTTTAGCAGCAGTGATCCAAGGCCATGAGTATGACCGCCCGTCCCCAACATCCAACCTTGAGCCCCGTGGTCCTAGAACCCTAGGCCGGGACCAATGTGCATACTGTAGAGCGGATGGCCACTGGAAAAACGAATGTCCGAACCGCCAGTCCAGACTCCGGGGGAGGGGAGGATCTAGAGGCCAAGGAAGAGGACAGAGCTTTAACCACCTTCCAAGAGGGCAAGTTAATGAAAGCCGGTACAGCCGCACCTACCCTGCAGGGAAGTCGGAAGATGGCTTTGTTGGTATGGCCGGAATGAACTATGATGATTAGGGGCGACCGGGCTCTGTCAATTGTGGCCCTCGGGAGCCCTTGGTCCGCTTAAATATTGAAGGAAATCCTGTTGATTTCATGTTAGACACGGGGGCTGAAGTATCCATTGTAACGACACCCATTGCTCCGCCCACTAAAGATAGCCTAACAGTTGTAGGCATGGCAGGGAAGAAACTTGCTCTCCCATACCTCCAATCAAGAACCTGTTCTCTAGGAGGTCACCGGGTCACCCACCGTTTTCTCTTAAATCCCAGCTGTCCGATTAATTTGCTTGGGAGAGATCTTTTATCTAAAATGCGTGCCTCCATAACCTTTGATACTCCGGATGGCTCAGCACTTCTGTCCTTACCTCCAGAGACTCAAACTTCACTAGTGTGTTGTAATTTAGAGGTTGATGCTACAGAAGAGTGGCGACTTCCTGAGGTCCTAATGGGATGTGGATTTAGAAGACACCCTGATGGTGACCCTGAAGAAGTCCAGTATCAGACTGATAAAGATGCTTTTTATGACAAGGAAAAGGTGCAGGATAAATTGTACTACCGAAATGAAGTGCCAACTGTATGGGCAGAAGATAATCCCCCAGGCTTTGCTAAACACCAACCT